GTGTGGGTGACCCACTGTGGCCTGACTGTGTCCAGTACAAGGGTGGTTACAGCCTATGATAGAAGTGCCGAGTTTGCTGTGCTGTGTGTTCACAGCAGGACTGTGGGAGTTTTTGCACGGGCTGGGCTTATGGACAGATGTTGGACTATCTGGACTGGGAGAATTGAGTTTGACTGTAGGGCCATGGAGGTTTGGTACCAGTGGGGAAAAGGGAGCGTGGGCTGCCAAATTAGTGCTGGACGAGGAGGTTACATGGCTGTGCTGCCCAGAACTCGGTTTTGGGGGCAAGAGGGAGGAATGCTGGGATGACAGGCCGGTGGGACTGTTGGGCGGTACTGACAAGTCTGTGTGTTGATGGTGGTCACTGGGGTGGAAGGCTTCACCTGGACAATGGAAAACAAACAAACAAAAAAAATACATATCATCTCTTCACAAATTGCAGTGCAGTAGATTGTGCACGTTCTGCACAGTTTATTTCATGGGAACTCTTAGTACCCACTACTACTCTGAATGAGTGGGCCTATTCCCACTAACGTAATTACCACAAAGTTTGAAGTTGAACTCACAGCAAAATATATTGGCTCGCTAAAAATGCTCAAACCCTTTTAGAAGCTAATATCTCTGCGCTGCTGCCAGTGTTGTTCGGTGAGTCTGGCTCACAGGGTTGCAGCAGTATACCGGCTGTACGGTTTACCACGGTATGAAAATTGACAGTAATCATACCACACACGTGCTTATTAATGGTATTGAAGAAAAAAAACACAATGCGTGTACACCTTTCTTCTCCACAGCCTGTCAGCCTCCGCAGCGGGCACCACATGCACACATGCAGCGGACAAACGGCAGAGAGAAGGAGGCTGGTATCACCAAAATAAAAATTAAAATCAGCAGCGCAGGATTACTTTGGATGTCTCAAAAATGAGCACCTTCGAGAACACCATCTCTCCTTACAGGTCAAAATATTTGTCCTGTTTACAACTTTAATCCCAAACAATAACAGTCGGTTATAAAATGTGCTGTCAAAATAATTCTCCACCTTCTGTTCGTTCGCCAATCTCACTTGCAATACAAAAATACCCGTTTTTCATTCTTCCGAGGGTCATTGTGGCTGATAATAACAGTAATTATGTAATACTGTGACACCATGATATTTTCTGAGATGGTCATCATACCGTGAAAATCTCACACTGCTGCAACCCCTAGTCACAGGAGGCTTTGACAGCACATTAAGTTTTGAAAAATATTTCTTCAACAAAATGGCTTGAAAAAAGTTACATGCTGTAGCTTTAAAGATGGTACATGTAGATTTAATAACAGATTTGAAACATTCTATTTTATAAGCTATTCTGTTAAAAAAAAAAGTAATTATAAAGGTCAAAGAGGAAAATACCAGGTGGCGTTGGCCGACGGCACATGGTCTTGAAGTGCTTAGGAGTGGTCTTACAAAGGTCTGCTGAGGTAGACAGGGGGTTCCCAGCAGAAGATCCACTGGAATTCTGGGATGACGGGTGACTGTAGGGACAGACTTTGGTCCCTGACGTTTTTACAGATTTCCCAGGGGCTTCGGGAAGACCTCTTTTCTCATGACAGCCTGATCCTGTTGTTATACCTGGAGACAGAGAAAATTCAGTGACTTTGTAAAGGCACTAATGATGGATTTAAAACATGATGACCTGCTGCCTTTGATAAGAGACATCTTTTCACAAACTTTGCTGACACTAAATCTTAGTTCAAGACAAGTTAATAACAGTTTAATTTGTTAATGTGTTAAAAAATGTTTCCCGAGGAACAACAGCTTTGATCAGTTTCCATGGCCGAATGATTTTCAGGTTCTGAGATTTTAGAAACTCAACACGCAGCCCTTGGAATGTAGTTTATGATTTGTTTAAAAAAAAAAAAAGACTATCTCTTTCTGGCAATTATCCATGCTTGCCAGTAGAAGTTGATACGTGTCACTGTACCCACTTAAACATTTTACTATGGTATGCATTAAAGTACATTAGTTTGTTCAGCTCATATCCAACTTGTTTTTTTTTTTTTGTTTTTTTTTTACTTCAAATTGAGAAACTAAATTGTTCATTAGCGTTATTCACAGTTAAACATCCCTTTTTTCATTGAGCACCTTAAGAAACTTTCTAAATTATTTAAGATGAGATATGCCATTTTGAATGCAGTAGTTCAAGAAAGGCACACCTGCACTCATTTAGCACAGATGCCATAAATTTCAATGCAAATTGGTAATGATTCATTTCAGTATTTGCTAAACTATAAATACAACCACTATAACGCACAAGGTAAGCTCTACACAGTGGTTTGATGAGAGCCAAGAAACAGACAGAAAACAGACTCAGGCAAAGAGCACTGCTATCTGGAATGCCATGTGTCCCATTTTATAAACAAACAACTGCCTTTCCCAGGTCCATGATACGTCTCACTTTCACATTCAATTCTCTGGCTAATATACATCTTTCAGGTATCTCTGTCATGGCTGCACAATAGCATAGCTGGGTGGCGCACCCGAGGTACTTACCAGAGTCAAATTCCTCGTGTGTTCAACACACCTGGCCAATAAAGCAGATTCTGATTCTAATTAAACCACTGAACAGTCAATGAACAGTCCCAAAAACAGAGTACTAACTTTAAATTTTAAAAGGCAGACTATCACATTTCGTTTTTATCTGATGGCTTTACTGTGCTGAAAATGGGCTGAGACAATTCATGAGCAAATTTTATTTAACGTACTATGACTTGGCAACAAAACAACTCTTACATCAACTTAATGCAGCAAGAATTGTGTCCCACGGTTTTTCTAACTGTATGACAATCCTAACTGAATAATCAAATAATTTGCTTCCATTTTCATTTAAGAACTGGTGCAGATGCTCTGTGGTAAAATGTGCAACCGATAGTTAAATACACCATATATACGCTGACACACCGAATGTGTAATGCAAGTTTGCATGTTAGTTCTATATTTTGATCTTTTAAGTGACAGCTTTTACACAGCATGGCTAGAAAGTACCTCCCTTAACAATTTATGTGTCCATTCAGGGAGGAAGCAAGCAGGATTTGTTACCAAGCCTTTTCTATTGTCTCTGATATGAAGTTATCTCCAGTACTGTTATCTTGAGTGCTGTTTCATCAGCAAGCTTATCCTAAATCACTATTGATCCCTGCCTAACGCTGAAAGGATCTCAGAAAGCAGAACACTGTCACCTTCTACAAGATGCCTCTTTGTTCTTCTAAGATGTACAGCAGTAGACTAACACCAGAACAAAGCTGCTTTTTTTCTGGCTCAAGTAAATAAACTAACAAGCCAACCATAGAGAACTGATTCTAACCTAATTTGTGTGTTCACCAAAAAAATCCTGAAATATAAGTCTGCGTTGTTTTCAGCAATTAAATGCTTTATTTGGCAGTCATCCTTTACCTTTTGATGACAGACTTTGTTGTGAGTGTGAAGAAGCGTTGTGGTTGCAGTGCTCCCCTCCGTTGGTGTGCGCCGAGTTCCAGAGACTTGACAGTTTGTGGGCTGACAGGAAGGAACTTGGTTCCCAATCTACAGTACTTTGCTCCGGGTAACCGTTCCCACAGCTCTGGGACTTACAGGAGGACGAGTGTGATAATGGTACCTGAATAAAAAATTTAAAAAAAAGACACCTCCAGCCATTAATCATCTGGCTATCTGCACAGGCTTACACTAGTTTTATCAAACAGTAGCTTGTAATCCTTGCAGCACGTTAACAGAGAGTGACATGAGAGGAGAAACATATTAGAAAGGGATCAAGCAAAACCACGGAAAAAAAATGTAATAGCACAGGAACGTTTCAGCAATCCTTCCCTCTGTTGCTTTTTTGTTCGAGCCAATTAAATATTAGTTCACATGTTCACCTGCGGTCAGTGATGACAGAGTAAGTCTTCAAAATTTGCATTTCATCTAAAATATGTTTGTCAAAACAGAAAGCAAAGGTAATAGCTGCTGGCTGTCTTACGCATCCCACAGAGACAGAAAGACAAAATAAGTTGCTTTTAACCAGACAAAAAGAAGAAAACGTATTAAAACTTACTGACTCCAGGGTAAAATTTAGATTGAGTAATTTACTTAGTGATTAAGTACATGCAAATGTAATGCCCTGTATGATGAATAAAGATGAGGCGACCTCGGTCGACACAAGCAGAGCTGAACTAAATAGTAGTAAAAAAGAAGTCAGGAAAAGGACCAAGACAGATGTTCCAAATTGGTCCACTTCTATTTACCGGCGTCGGCTGCTCCTGGGTGCTCCGCCTCTCTTCCTCTTCCACACTCTTGCAGCAACTCTGACAGATCCACAGAGGCACCTCTCCCAACAGGGACTGAGACAGCGACGGCACTGCATCAGCAAGCTTACGCCCTGGTGTCTCCCGCAGTAAGGCCTGGGAGAGCGCTGGCACAGCATCAGCCAGCTTGGTCCCATGGCCCACAGGGAGTCCGTTCAAAGAGCTTGCTCCCCAGTCCTTGAATTCACGGTGGCACAGCAGGCAACAAGTGTGCATAGGCTGGGGAGACAAAGAGAGGTTAAAGAGGTCAAGTATTATTAGCCTGTGATTACCAGATAAACTGTGATTTGTAACACACAATTTTGCTGATTAACACTAGAAAAAAATAGGGTCTTCCAGACCAGATTTCTCTAAAGGTTATTTATACAATACACATCAACACCAAATGAATAAAGTAAGCAGTCAAACAGGTAATTATGAATACTATTAACAATGACTGTGCATAGACACACCAGTTTAGTGGACACAGGTAGCTCAGTAGAATGCAGAGTAATACATAATGTATGGCAAGGACTTTTAAATTGTATTGTTTCACTTAAATATATCAAATAAAATGGTATGCATGGATAGTCGTTTCCCATTTTATATGGATGTTCTTTATTTTACAAGGTAGCCAAGACATTACATTTTAGAAAGACAACCAGGTTATTCAACTGCCTATTTTATTTCTAGTTGTGAGACGTGTCCAGACGGGCATCTTACACATGCGCTATAAAATGCAATTACTCAGTCCAAACAGCTGTCAGTCAGGTTGTAAGTTAGGGCTCAGGGGTCAGATGAAAGGTCAGCAGGTGACAATGGCCCACTTCCAGCGTACAGTGCCAAACTCTCTTTTTTGAGATTAGTGGTTACCATCAACTTAGACAGATAATATAACTAGCTTATATTTTGATGCTAACTCAGGCATCATTAAATGATAACTGCATGCATTGAAACTTTTGACATTAACGCTCGCGCCTCCGAAAGTTGAGCAGGCTGCAGCAATAAAATAAAATAAGTTATGATACAGTCGAATAAACAACTCAAACCTGAGAGTTTTCTACCCCAGTTCCGAACCTATTATCTCTTTTAGCTAGCTAGCTAGTGGCTGAGTGGGTTCCGTGGATGGGTTCAAGTGTAGGGAGCAATCAAGCACGTTTGCTGCACGCTAGCTGGAGATGATAGCCCGGTTAGCCTCACAGCTAACGTTAGCTGGGCGGGTGAAGAGTTGTTAAGGCTGGTTACGGGGCGACCTGTCTGAGGCGCAATGTCATCTGTCCGGCAGAGAAGATGGGCTGTAAAGCTTGCCACACTGCTTCAGAGCCGACTGTTGGGGACGATCCTGCTGGCTACGTTGAGCGTATTATTTATTTAATTGCATACCAAACGACGTAAAGCTTTACATCCACGGCTGCTCAATTAAGACTAAAATAGCTTTCCGCCAACCAGTGGCTGCATACAACTTCATCTCTGCAGGATCTACCCAGCTACATAAAATAAATAGCTACCTGGTTCGCCCTGGTAGTGGCCAGCCTATCCAGCTCAGCATCTCCGCCGCCACCGCCAGCTGCATCGCTGGGAGAGACAGAGCTCTTCGGTACGGTCTGCTGTCCAGGAACAAGCTCCTTCTGGACGACCCCCTGCTGCTTGCTTTTCTTCCTTGCCATCACAACAGTTTTTATGATACGCTTTCTCCAAGTTTGCACCAGTTTCGATGATTTTATGTGCACACTTTCGTTTCTTCTCGGACCTCAAAATGTTCTCTATCTCCTCCAGTCAAGACAACAGTCAATATGGCGGAGGACTGGCACACTCAAAAGTTCATAGGTTAAAGATACTGCTGGCAAAGAGGCTTCACTTCCCCACGGAAAATACAACAGAAACCTTACCCAGGCAGTGAAGCCACCACACACCGCCATATTTAGTAAGGGCAATCCTCTCCTCCCAGTTTCTTTTGAGTGGGAAAAGACCGAAAAGAGAAATAAACCATTCCTCCTGCTTACATTAGCCATTCAAACTATTGTTTTACTATCTGAGCATATTCACTGAGCATATCATAAATACGTATGTGTCTGTGATATGGCCATATAATGCTATCTGTAAAAAGTAATATTGCAAAGATAATAATGCAAAAAGTAATATTATCATTGAAAGAAAATTAGGTGGATACAGGCTAGAGTTGAGGTAAAGAATCCATGTAGTCTCTGTCCAGTCTAAATCCGCTAATGATAATATGTAATAAAAAAATCTTCATTATCAAATTTTCACTTTAAAATTCGAAAAACTAATTAGAAAACAAACCCAGTTGTTTATATAACCTTATGTATCTGACAAAATAAGCCATTTACTTTTTTTTAAAAATTGGAATCAAACTTTTAATGAGAAAAGTAAAATTATTAATGTGCTCATTGTGTCTACACTATGCTCTCCTGTTCTTTATTTATTGTGCCTCCATACTATGTTATCCTGTTTATTATTTTTCTGATTTCTTCCGTCCGTTTTTCGGCACTTAATTTCTTCATACTTTCAGCTGCAAAAGCCATTAAGGTATCAAAATGTTCAACTCTTTAAGGACATGTGTGATTGTATTTTTATGGTTTGTAATATTTATACTTTTAAAACAATTTCGCTTTTTTCCCCCATCATCAACCAGAAGGGAGAGGTAGGTTACACAGGTAGCAAAATACATCAGCAATTGAAATTCTATACCCTATTTTACCCAAAATTTCCCACTAGGGTAAAGGTTTTTTGTGCTATTTTTCCCTTCCTATCTTACTGTGATTGTGTGGATGCTGAAAAGCATTCACACTATGTTTCCTGTTCTTTATTATTATTATTGTGTGGATGCTGAGTCAGCAGCCACACTATTGTTATCCTGTTCTTTTGTGTGGATGCCGAGTCAGCAGCCTTTTCACAAATTTTCAGCTTGTTTTCTGCCAACCTTAAGCTTTCACATACAAGTTATACATGTAAATGGTAGAGAAAATTGTGAGGAATCAGAAAATACGATTGCGATAGGATGAAATGTTTTTGAATGAGGTGGCACATTCCAGAGACCGTGTCGCCTCACTCTGCCATAGATGGCCACTGAAAAAAACGATTCAGAAATTCAGAGACTTCTTCAATAGGACTTACAGTTTTTCTTCGATTGTCAATCGTTCGAAGCTCATGTTTTACTGAAATCTGCTGTAGTGTCCTCAAACTGCTGAGTCACTTAACGATGCACATGCTATTTTTACACACAAACAGCAACAGAATAACATGCACACACAAAATAAAACCCATATACAATCCAAGCAATACAATGATGCACAGTAACACACAGTGGCACAGTGACACATGGACACACACACACACAATGTAAACAGTTTAACAACTGAATGTCCAGTTCCTTTCAAAGCTCAGAGCTTTGCTCCTTGTTACTGTCAGCTAGTTTGTCCTTGTCTACTGTCAGTCAGACCAGCACAGGCTGGAATGTGCTTGTGGTGGGAAGTTGTTGTCAGGATATTCCAATGTCACTCTGAAGGATACTGCAGGGCCACAGATTATAAACTGGTGTGACATGAGTGCTCTTCAAGGACATTCATGCTTCTATTCAGAATTTTTCTAAACTTCATACCTTTTAAAATATTTAGCTTTATTCTGAAAATTTTGCCTCATTCAAATGAATGGGAACATTCTAGTTCAGCATACTTTCAACTATATCAGGTATCAAAATGTTCAGCTCCCCATGGACATTCATGCTTCCATTCAAAATGTTGCTATACTTCATACTTTTCAAAATACTTAGCTTTATTCTGAAAATTTTGCCCCATTCAAATCAATGAGGAAATTCAACTTCAGCATACCTTCAAAGGACTTTCATGCTTCTTTTCAGAAGTTTTCTAAACTTCATACTTTTGAAATATTTAGCTTTATTTTGAAAATCTTGCCCCAATTAAATGAATGGGGGAAATTCTACTTCAGCATACTTTCAGCTATCAAAATGTTCTGTCAGGGCCGCTCGGCCAAGGCTGCCTCTCCTCCGCCTTTCTCTCCTCTGTTCTCTCGATCCTGTGGACTCTGCACCTCAGCTGAGTTGCATTCCAGTAATTAGCGACTGGTTTGTCGATGCACACAGCTGGGGTGCATCCCGATGATTACCTTCTCCTCCTTATTTATACGGCTGGCAGACCCATCGTCGCCGGAACATTAACTATGTACCGCGTAATATAGGTGTGGTTTGAATGCTACGCTGACAGTTCCTGTGCATTTTGGCTTGACTCTACTACACTACTTATACGCTACACTACCTTACACTACACTACATAAAACCATTTGTATCATATTTGATACGTGAGGTTTTTGAGCAAAAAAAATTGCCAAAAATGCCCCATGTATCAAATGTGATACAAAAGAAATTATCTAAATAATATGGCACCTCTATTCCTATATGCCCGGACTGTCTGTATATGCATATATGGCAAATAAAAATCATGAATCTTGAATTTCAAATTATGAATTTTATTTTGGATTTTGTTAAAAGGTTTAATAAACATCTAATTTCCAAAAAATTAGAATGTTCTGGCTATTTTTGGATATGTTGGGCTTTATAGAGTTAAACATAACATATATAACATTACTTACCCCAAGTATGTGATTAATGTTATGTTTCTACCGTGTAAATGTATGTGTGTAAGATGCTACGCTGACAGTTCCTGTGTGTTTTGGCTGGACCTTATCCACATTATTTATGCATTTCCCAAGACGTCTTTTCTTTTCCGCGCTGACAGTTCCTGTTCGGTGGATTACAGTAAGTACGTTGGGTTTTTCTTTATCTGTGTTTTTGGTTAGACGTTTTTGATGTCCATGCTGACAGTCCCTGTGCAGTGGATGCATTGTGTACGTTGGTCTTTTTGTTCTTTCACCTGTCCGTCTTCATCTTCCTGCCCTCTTGGTCTTTTTCCGTCAGTCCCTGGACTCACCTGTTTGTCCCATCTTTCTTCAGCCATTTCCACCCATCCCGGACTGTGTATGTAAACTTGGACTTTGTTATGTTCTTTTTGATACTTAGTGTTTGTTTTTTTTTACCAGCAACCGTCATGTTTTTCCCCCTAGCACCTGGGTCTGCAAACTTGAGTCCAACCTCAGTCCTCCCTCACCCTCCTGGTGAGGGGGGCTACCATAACATGTTCAGCTCTTCAAAGATATTCATGCTTCTATTCATAATTTTTCTAAACTTCATACTTTTGAAAAATTTAGCTTTATTTTGAAAATCTTGCCCCATTCAAATGAATGGGAAAATTCTACTTCAGCATAATTTCAGTTATCAAAATGTTCAGTTCTTCAAGCGCATTCATGCTTCTCTTCAGAATTTTT